TTTCTCACATCCAAGATCACATACTCATGTATCCCTTTATAGCCCAGCACACACTCTTTGAATCATTTCTCTATTACATTACGTACATCAAGAACTTTTAGAATCCTGAAATCTTATATAAAATGACATACTATTCTACAAGAGCTAGACAAACACAAGTATCTGCAATGCATTGCCTGATCTATAACACATATGATGTAGAGCATAATTTTTTTTTTGATATTTTCTAGACTTACAAAATATACTTCACTAGATTTTCCAAGAACTCGAATAGATTAATATACTCCCTCCGTCCGTTTTATAGTAGTTGATTTTCTAAGTTTTTTTCTTGTTTCACAATATTTGATTTTCTGTGTGATTAATGCATATCTGTTTTTTATTTTCATTCTTTATTGGTGAAAAAAAAATAATACTAATAAATAATAATAAATTAATTAGACAAGTAAACTAACTAAATAAATAAAAGAATAAATAATTAAACATTTATTACTTCTTAATTTATGTACATATTCAGAAAATCAACAATTATAAAACGGAGAGAGTATATAATTCATGGAAGTTCATGACTAATGATAGTGTTAAAATAGTTATATGACATATTGACATCTTATTAAAAGCAGTGTACATAGCAAGGAAAAAGCAAGTACTATTCACTATAGATATTAACTAGCTTGCAACTCAACAATAATGTAGGGACAAAAAAAATCAGTTCTAGTAAAAGAAAATACGAGAAGGGAGACATGAGGCAGCGGTAATTTCTAGAGCAGAAACAGACATAATAATTTCATCAATCTATCCCTTTATAGATTGATCTGTACATGTCTTTGTGTTTTATTTTTGTTCAACGTACGTGGCCAACAGGGTTTAACGAAAGTGTTAATGAAGATGCTGTTGTGTAAAAGTTCCTGCGTATCACTATAGAGTTGTTAATGTTTTCCCGATTTTAAGAGCTTTTTAGATCGTTTCTTATAAATGTAAATTGGTGTACACCTGGAAAGAAAGTTAGAAACATACAAACAAAGAAAAAGATAGTGTAATAACAGAGATGGGACTAGACATATGTAGACATGAAAATCTTTGAAGACTAGCTCATTTAATCATGCCTTCGAATTGTTGCTTTTGAATTTACATTTTTTGGCTTTATTATATATGTGCAATAATATCAACATGCGGGTCAAATACAACAAATTTTCGGACAATGCTATCACTTTAGGTTTCGATTGGTTTATTCGTGGCCACCAAATGTATTTCTTTAACCAGTGAGGAAGTGCGTTCATGACACCAAAAAAAAGTTACAACAGTGAAAAATCTTTGTTGTTTCGTATAACTTTTAATTTGCATCTAATATTAATGATGATATATATATATATATAAACTATAAAGTAACATTTTCTCTCTTCTCCTTCCGCCACCATCCACCTACACATCCATCTAAGCATCTATCTATTTTACAAAAAAAAACAAAAAACACTAAAAAATATTACCTTAAATCTTCCACTTTACATCTTGAAATATAGATTTATTAATAAAAGTTCAAAAATCCGTATTGCATAACTGAATATAAAAATAATAAACCCAAAAAATTATTACAAAAAGGAGATAAAACAATAAATTAAACAATAAGAGAGATATTTAGGGATGCAAGATAGAGAGATGGTCTAGGGATAGGGCCATCAAGGTACATTAATGTGTGAGATGAAGAAGAAAAGAGAAATGGGAAATGATGGAATGAAGATATAATCGAATTTTAACAAAAATAATGGTCGGTTTGATTAGAATGGAAATAATTGAAGTGAAAATAATAAACCGTTATGACGTTATGATGATGCATCGAAGAAGAAAAAGATAAGATGTAAGGATATGTTAAACTTCACCTTCTGATAGTGAGAGATAACAAATGAAAGAAAGGGAAAATGTTCATAAAGTTGATGTTTATTTCACTAAGTTTGCATATACAAGTTATGTTCAAACTTTTGATTACAGCTTTAATAAAAACAAAATGTTCAAAAGAAACAACCTATACTATAACAAATTCAAAAGAATCAACTAATAAAAAACATATAAAACAAATAATACATACAATAAATTGTTTATAAATACAACTCATGCATAACGTGGATCAAAATCTAGTTTTGTAAATAAATAAAACTTTTCTAAATCATACGTTATTACCGCAAATGTTTTTTTTAAGAAAAAAGTTGATATTGAAGATGTTATTATATGGCAAAAGAGTATGTACCATGATATCTATGATTGGTGTAAAGCGAATGCAACAATAATCATTTTCAATCATCGTATTTACAAACGGTTTAAGGATATTTTTTTTTAACTAATAAGTTTCAGAAAATTTTTCTAAACGATGCGTTTACAATTAGAAAAAAAAAGTAATGAATGAACAATATGAATTTTGGTTTTTGTTTTTTTCACTAGTGGGAAGTTTTTATTTATTAAAATGGAATCATGCTATTATTAATTAGTTTAATAAACAAAACAAAACAATATATGAGGAATGCAATTCCCATTGGCCTTTTGGATGTTAACTTGAGTAGAAAGCATCACTTTAAGGCATTTATTGGAGAAAAGGAGCGAAGTTGGTTGAAAAAAAAAAGAGAAGACTATTCAAATAGACTGGAAAAAGAAAATAAAACACAAAAAATAACTTAAACAACTAGAAAGCACAGAAGATACCTAAAGAACAGAAACCAACAAAACACTGACTATTTGGTATACCCAAGTCTTTTCAACTATTACAACAGCTTCGATTATCGATGCATGCATATTTGTAGATGCTTCGTTTTAACGGTCGGCTATATAATCTCTATACATATTAACCGTAAATAAAATAAGATGGTCAAAAGTAGTAGAAATAACCATCTCTGTGGTAGTATGGTGGTTAGAGCACGATTTTTTTAGGGCTCGTATCAAGTTCAATGCAACATTTGAAATTTGTTATGGGTTTGGTTTGTTGTTATATCACAGAATAATACTTCCGGATAATGTCTGTACATACCTATATATTGGCAACAATGATATGTATTATTTTGTTAGCTCAGTGGAGCGACTATGTTTTGAGCAACTAGTATTAATTAATACGTTATAACGATTAGCTTTATAGATAGCACCCAAATCATTAGTTAGTAGATATCATTTGTAGTTTGGATTCTTCAGCTATGCTGTTGTATCAAACCTTTTTAGTAGCATATACTGGTATATAATTCAAGTGTTTGATCATATATCTGATGTTTATTATGATATAAGGAAATTTACTTACTTTGTTGCTAGTATTTAAATCTGGATAAATCATGTATATTTATGTGGAATATATAGGAATTTTAAGATCCAATTTTTTTTTAATAAAAAAAGGTTAGTAATGTATATCTACTCTAAATAATATATATATATATATTATATAAGGCTCTTACAAATTTTCAGTTAGGTACATTTTTTAGTACCAAACTATTCCTAAAATGAGAAATCCTGGAATTTAGCATTGGACAAACTCAAGGAATCATTACTACCGCTTGAAAATGTTTAATTACCAACTATTCTGAAAGTGACAGCATATTTATCACAATGTGCTCTTACGAAAATGTTAAAAAAATGTTCTTTGACATTAGTATCCCTTTCAACACTGTTATAGTAACTTATAGATACTTTAATATACTTAAAATGCTGTTAAAAATAAAAGACATACTTTAAACTAAATAAAACTTAGAACATGTGAATGTTACATATTCATATGTTCGATGTATGTAATTTGAAAAGACAGAGGAATGGGAGTTATCAATGTGTGACAAGTGAGAGCAGAAAACTATGACCAAACTATTCAACAGTACATTAAAGTGTTCTCAGGAAGGGAAATCTAATCTTTTCTTCTGACATTATTTTCATAACAAATAAATTGACAGATAACGGATCATTCATATTTATATGTATGGGCTTTTTTTATGCTCGCACATTTATATTAATGTTTAGAAAATATAACATGAATGTGTGGATAACAGTTTTGCATACAAAAATGGAGAAATAAACATTTTGTGCAAGAAAATCATACACAAATTGTGAAAATACAAGAACTAATAAAAAGGGTATACATAATAAGTGAATAACCCAAATTATTATAAACGCTAATTAAGCTAAGAGGTCTTTTATCCTTTGCATATGATGATGATGATGATTATAGCGATGATGGCCGATGGATGTATGAGCATCAGGATGATTATGTTGAAACTCTCGGGACACATATGAAGAATGAGTTTTTTTTGTTAATTTTCTTTAAAACCCTGGAAAACGAACAAATAATTACATCCTCTTTTACAAGCCCTGTGTTTACGTAGATTTTATTCCCTCCGTGCATATGGGAGGAGATTAAATCAACCTACACATCCAATAACAATAGCAATACATTATGAAACCAAAACTGCCTTTTTGACAATTATATAAGAAATGTTAAAATAATAGTAACAATAATAGTTGTAATAATAATTAGGTAGTTGACGAGACAAGATCAGAAGAAACTCACGAAAGCAGGCTTTTGTGTTTGTGTCGACATGTGATTGATTACTTAAGAGAAAGAACCGAAGCTGTTGCTGTTGAACCCACTTCTGTCTCCAAACTTCTCTCTTTCTTCTCCCTCTTCCTAAATTAAGCAACACACATCACTATCTATTAATGTTTGATTGATTCTTATCTTATCTTTAATTTCTCCTCTCCTTAATGTATTACTTCACAAAAACAAAATAAAAAAATACCTGAAGCTGTGCCTGTGTGGGTATTATAGGATCATCCAAAAGTGAAGAAAGGAGAGTAGTAGTTGTTGGCATTGCATTGGTAAAAGACGTTCCAACATCTGTGGGTCCCATCTGCTCACCAACAAGATACTTAATTATGATCGATAACCGACTTTTGGGATTTACCGAAACCGGTTTATTGTTATGGATTGAGTGAATTAGAGGTTGAGCATAAACGAAGTACCTCGGGTCTAACTATGAGGCCATCAAGGTCTGAACCGAAGTCATAGACCACTGGACTTATAGAAGCTAACTTCATCGAGAGAAACTAATTGAAAAGGTAAATAATTATAACTTACGTATATTATTTTAAAACCAAAATGTTGCAAGAAAAAGATATATATAGAAATGCACCTCAACTTGATTCTGCAAAGACTGGACGTACTTTATAATCTCATCCAACATGAGGGCCTTCCCTGTTACCTATTCATTTTTTAAGTCACATTTGATTAAAAAAATCAATCTAAAAAAATAATAATATTAAAACATAGTATAGTCTCTAGTTAACCTTATTACATCCCGGAACAAGATTTTGGAGAGTCTTCATCCGCTCACTTATCTTTTCCCTTCTCACCTATAACCAAGTATATTAATTAAAAAATAAGGATAAAGATGATTACTGAAAATAATTAGAAGTAGCAGAGGAAATGACTAATATACCCTCTCAGCGAGGCTGTGACTATCAGTAGCTTGGCCTCTTCTGGCTCTAACGTGAATGTAATCTTTGGGAGCTTCTTCTACGCTCGTTCTCTTCTTTTTGACGTCGCTTGAGCAACCATTTCTCTGTTTTTTGCTTTTACGGTCCTCTACTCCTTCCTTATTTCCAAAACCACCCCGATCGAGCATTTACTTCTCTATCTATCAGACTATCACAACCCCGTCCCAAACATAAAAATACATTACAAGTTATATTTTGGTTTACCTTATTGTTAAACCCGTTTCTGGTCTTCCTCCGACGGTTGTTTCCGGCAGAGGCAGTGGATGGTATCTGGCTGAGCTGGTCGCCGGAAGAAGAACCGGTTGTGTTGTTGTTGCTATATTTCTTAACATCAGAGCTTTCTACATTTTCATTACAATATGAATCAAGAAACGGATTCAAGGAAGTGTCTTCGATTGTGAAACTGTTTGGTAGTGAATAGAGAGGATTCTGGTCGATGAAACCAGAGAGCTTATTAGAAGAGTTAGGTGGGGAGAAGAGAAAAGGGTCCAGAAGGGAATGAGGGTAGTGTTGGAAATATGAGAAAGTTGCCATTTCAAGAGTTGAAGTTCTTACTTGTATCTTTCTGAGAGAGAGAGTGTGTGTTTTTCTTGTTTGTGGGAAGAACAATTGAGGACACCAAATGGTTTTATATAAGCATTTCCCGTTTGTTTATTTATTTTTGTTTTTGTTTTTTTGGTATTCAGAGAGACAAGGAGAAACAGAGGAAATAGTATTTTGGGGACCATCTTCCACTATTTTTATACTAAACAAATACCTTTTTTAAATTGACAATATTACCATATCTCGGCGGCTAATATTAGCGAGAGTATATGTTTTTTTTTAATAGAAATTTTAATTTGATATTCCAAAAATATATGTATTTTGATAACTAACCAATGTTTAATATTTTTTCTAAACTAATTTTTTTATTAAAATAAATAAATAAATAAATATATATAGATATATTATTACCGCTTTATATTATTTATAAAAACCTTATCTCGTATGCCACTAACTATTCTTACTTTTCATTTCGGGGAAGATACACTTTATTTTGATTATTATTGTATAACTTTATATAATATTAGAAGAGAATCTGCAGGTTTTTATTTTATTTTATAGTATGAAAATATACTTTTAGACTTTTAATCTGAATATCAGTTTTTAAACTAAATCTACTAGATTATTATTGTATATATTTTATAGTTTACATAATTTAATTCCCCAACATTATAATACACAGTTGACAATACTGAGCAATCATCACACAATAAGCACAAGCCTTTAACGATCAATAAGCATTCACAAAAGCTACACTGATTACTGTCGATGGACCTAAGCTGCAATCCCGTCTTTCATTATCTTCGTATGCTTCACTTAGAACAACAAAGGACATCGGAGATTACGCAACGTAGTCCATTGGGACTATGACCCAAAACCCGATTCTTAGCTAATTCAGCATTAATACATTATGTTCATCACCTTTACTTGTGCAAGAAACATGAATTTTAAATTGCATCATAAGATGGTTCAACCTTAATTCCCAAGGTTCACGTATACCCTACATCATTTTCAATGACACAATTAAGAACATTAGCTTAGTTCACGAAAACTATATTTACAAGTTAGTCCCAACTACATTTCATATAAATACATTACTCTTTCAAATACATTACTCTCTCACGGCAAATCAAGGGTTGAGTGATGGTCGATCAAATATCATCAATAACCACTTGCGGTCACACAAACGGTTTATAAATTAGGGTTGTTTCCGGTTTAATTTTTAATTACTTATTCTAAAAACGGTTTTACAATAATTTTGAAATTCTATAGCCGATTTTTATACATATAATCAACTCTAACTAGTTTTTTTTTGGGTCTAAATGTTACATTTTATACCAGTTTTTGAGTTTTACAAAAGATTATAAAGCTAAGGAGAAGAAAGAAAGACTGAGAACTACTGAATTATAGACAAATTACAGTTAGAAACTAAAAATCCGAACAAGAACTAGCTGAGGAAGCAAGCCAAGACCGAAACAAAAGCAAATGCAGATAAACAAACCTGGGAGATCGCACTGTATGAACTCAAGCATAGTGATCTCCCAGGCTTTGCCCAAGCATAAATGGATCGAAATTGCCACGACCAAGCATAATCAAAGGCCATCCCCAACGTAGCTAGTTATTATTCATCCAATCACCCTCTAAATTTGTAACCCTATCCAAAAGATACCGTACATTTAGCTCAATAGGTATAAAAAAAAATAGAAGATAAATATCTAATGACGCGTAAGTTTCTTATTAGCAATTTAGATGCGTTTACGCGTAATATACAAGCTTTTGTCAGTTTTTGTTTTTGTTTTTTTTTTCTTTGCCCATTTCTGAAAAACAAATAAAAACTTTTGTCCATTTCCCACTTTGGATCGACATGGGAAGTTTCCTTCACAGAAAAAGACAAACTTGGTAAAAAAAAAATGTAATTAAGGTGAGAAGTCCAATCCCATGATACCGTTGGGTATTAAAAAAAGACAGAAAATCATAAATATAGCGTTTTTGTTTTATATAATCCTTAGAAATTTAGGGAGAATTAAATGAATAACTAAAATTCGTTAAGTGATGAAAAAAATAGCCATAAAAATCACATAATAAAATAAGTAATAATGTACATGATTTTGAAACGAAAATAACCTTCTGAATAAGAGCGGTAAAAAAAAGAGAGAGAATATATTCTCAGACGCGCTGCACACATACGTTATCTACTATTAATTAATTTGTGTCAGTATAGACAATCTATGTAAACCACATCTGCTATGAACATTCTTTCTGACAAGCTTAAATCTATTATCGCAACACTGAAAAAAATAAGAAGAAAACATCAAGTTAAATAGACTATTAGATACAATAAAAACATACATTTAAAGAGTTATACAAAAGTTCTATGTACATATATATAGACAATCTATAGAAAACTGTATCAATAAAAAACTCATTCATGTATGTATACATAAAAAATGCAGACAGATCTAAGAATGATTCACATATAGTCATTCTATGTAAACTACATATAATCAGTCTATTTAGTAAAAACCCTAAAATAGAACTTTAATTTCATTTAAGTTGAAACCTAAAATTTTCGATGATTTCAGTCTCCAATCGCAGAACCCATAACTCAGAATCGACGATTTCATCCTATGTCTTTCTGCGATGATATCGACAAGAACCAACAATAAATACAAACCCAAAATCAAAATCAAAATTATAATATAAACCCAAACCCATAATTCAAAAAATCCAAATTCAAACCCATAATTGATGATGTCGTCAAGGAGCAGTGACGGAGCCAGAATTTTTTTTCCATTGGGGGCATATAGAGACATATATGATTTTATAAGTGGAGGCATTAGCACTAGACTTTAATAAATTACACTATTTTTTTTTAAATTTATTGGGGGTGAATGACCCCGACTCAACGTATGTGGCTCTGCCACTGTCAAGGAGTACAAACCCAAACCCAGAACTGATGATGTAGTCGAAGAGTACAAACCCAAATCTAAAACCAAAATTGAAAGAGAAAGTTTTATTGCGAGTTTAAAAGTTCTTTCCCCAACTTTTTGTTCGTTTTTGTTTTTGAACAACTGATTTATGTGGATGAGTTAAAACCAACCGCTAGACTAAAGTTAATACTGTATATTATATTCTGCGAGTGAAGAAATTTAAGGGTATACTTGTATATATTGTATATAATACACATAATATAGTAATCATCTTCTTTATATGGTCATTTATTTAAATATTAAATTTTTGTTGGTTATTAACTGCAATTTCCCAAAGATTTAATCGCTATCAATCCATATGTTTGATATTATTTAGATTGGTCATGTTATAATGTATTTAGTTTCTGATCTTGGTATATATCCCTTTCCGCATGTAATCTCTAATCTTCAATTGTTACGATTAAAATATTTGAAAGTTTTAAGCGGATTTTTCTTATTAAAATCCTGGAATTTTTACTGATTTCTACCACTAAATTTATCGTTTTTTTCTCTATAAGTATGAATCATATTGTATGATTGTATAAATTCCAATATGTTACACGATATATTCGACGATATCTATGTAAATTTAGAAGATAAAGGAATATTCCTATTTGATAAAGGAATATTCCTATTATTTGGAGGTGAAGTAAAGCGAAATATAGATAAAGTATTCATCTTTCTTTGAAATCATATATATTATAAGCGAAGTAAAAATTTCGTTTAAAGCTCTCTCATTGAATCTTAGAGTGGTTAATTACCCTTTACCCCTCCTTAAAATTATTTTTAATTTAAAAATAAAACAAAAAATTATCTACTATTAAAATCACGATTATATATAGGTTGTAATAATATTAAATTAAATCAAATCAAAATACATGATTTTATCTCAATCTGATCAAAATCTATGATTTTATCAAATCAAAAATCACGATTTTACAACTAAAATCACAATTTTTTAAAATAAAAATAAAAAACGAAATTAATTTTATTTAAATTAATTTTTATAAAAAAAATTTAAAAATCGAAAATCATCATATATAATTATGTTACTCCATAAATCTTTAAGTAAATCTTACTTAATAGATACTTAGATATTGTTTTTTTTTTAAAAAAAATAATCTTAAAGTGGTTAATTACCCTTTACCCTTCTTTAAAATTATTTTTAATTTAAAATAAAACAAAAAATTATCTACAACTAAAATCACGATTATATATAGGTTGTAATAATATTAAATTAAATCAAGTCAAAATACATGATTTTATCTCAATCTGATCAAAATCTATGATTTTATCAAATCAAAAATCACGATTTTACAACTAAAATCACGATTTTTCAAAACAAAAATAAAAAACGAAATTAATTTTATTTAAATTAATTTTTATAAAAAAAATTAAAAATCGAAAAATCATCATATGTAATTATGTTACTCCATAAATCTTTAAGTAAATATTACTTAATAGATACTTAGATATTGTTTTTTTTAAAAACAATATTTATATGAATTATAAAAACATTAAAAAATAAAAAAATCATCATATATAGTTATGTTACTCCCTTAATCTTTAAGTAAGTCTTGATAAATACTTAGATATTGTTTTTTAATAAAAAATATATATGAATTATCCGATTTGCATAAATTTTAAAGATTTTTCAACCAATTTTTTTTCTTCACTTACACAGTTATAATATTTGGCGATCATGTAAGCTTTATATTTCGTGTGTTTTACATTAGTGATCTTGTGACTTCTTAAAAAAATAGTTTTTGTGCTGTTTATTTTCTATTCGGTTGTTATTTTTGTTTTATATTCATGTAGATCTACATTTTTTTATATATGTTAGGTGATACCTTGTGTCTTCCCTTTTATAGCTCTTCAAGAATATATTTTGTTCTGATGTATATTTGAAGTTGGTAACTATTTATATTTTATAAATTCTTATTAATAATAACGTTTGATGTTTTTTTTTTCTGTTTAGGATGTGGTGTTTTAGCCGGACTTTCTTGATCGTTGATTGTTTAGTTTACTGCTATACCGAAGGGTAACATTTTATTTTCTTTTTTGTGCTTTAGGTTTAGATTTGTGATTTTTTTT